CTCTCTGATTGCAATAAAAAGTAGCCTATATTCTCCTTTGTTCCATTTCAGGTACTGCCTGTACTCGTATACCAAATGTTAAAGTGATTAATTAAGGCGCTAATAGGTAACCAACAAACTCCCTTTCACATTTATATTTGCATTAATAAATTATTTATTTAATGTGTTTATATATGTACATAATAACTTATATGACATGACGATTATTTAAAGAGCATAATAGAAGAAAAAATAGAAACCTAAAGAGGAAGCGGAAGACCGAGAAATAACTACATGAGACTGATATATAAAACTAGTTGTCATTTCGTATAGGGAGGTCAAAGATATGGCCTGTAATAGAGCTGGGTGGAAGCAAATACATGAATTACATACCAGAGTGAAACTTTGTACAAAAGTCGATTGCTTGGGTACCTCTGTCCCATTCGTGTTTCAACCGTGAAGCAGTTGTGTTTGCATGGCTGTGTTTCGGTTTAAAGGGTGGGATATGGCGTGAATTTACTGGGCACAGAGGAATAACATCTGAGTCCTCAGGAATGGCAACGCATGGGGGGGTATCATGGGCGGAACAGTATACTCTGTTATGTCCATAATACTCATGTTTGGGTATTATGGGGAAGGCTAATGTTTAACAGTGGACAGTTAACGGCTGAAATAAAAATAAAAAAAAATACAGAGGTCAAGTGTAATGTGACTGAGTTATCTCAAAATGCAGAACAAATTAAAACGATAAACGGCCAAAAGCAATATCATTTGATGAAGCACTATTACTGCTAAGAGCATTAATCTCCTTGGTTAAATGATCCCATTATCATATTTCTGTCTTTATAGACCATTTTGACACAAGAATTAATTTCAGCAAAACGCTACAGACGTTATTTTTGTTGATATCCTACGCAATTTAAAGTTCTCGATTGGGGTCCCCGTACGTGGAAGCGCAGTATGGGATGTCTCTTAATAAGATGGAACAAACGAACAATTGAAATTGTACCATTTTGAAAGCATTTCGTTCGTTATTTTAACTTCATCTTCGTTCTAGTTTCTTTTGGCTTTAAATATTCTTTTTATAACATAACACAGTGGGCAAACAGACTTGCAGCTCACCTGATGATCAGTGATTACCGCCGCCCGTAGGCACTATCAGAGAAATTGCAGGTATGTTGCCAGTCTTTTAGGAACACATATGCTCTTTTCTTGTAGGTTTCAATGTTGTATCTGTTTTAATATACTGCGAAATTTTGTTCTGAAGTTCTTCATCATGTCAACCCTTAATCCCCCGCTACTGAACATAAGCCTCCCCCTTGGGGGGTTTTGCCACGCTTGGCAAGCGCATTAGTAACCGCAGTCAGGCTTTAAAGATTATTTAAGAGGGACGCTAGTGCCCATCCCTCGCCGTCCCTTATTCGTCTTTTACAACACCTACAGGAAAGGAAGGGGTGGCCTATTCTATGCCAGGACCACACAGCCATCCAAAGTTCTTAAACACAAAAAAAATTAGAGTTTTTGTACATATGTCCTCTGCATATGAACCTCCGTCTTACTTATATTTCTGCTGTGGATTTTGAAGTTTTTTTTTTTGTAATGGGGTGAAAATGAAATGGTACGACTGCCTGAGGTATCCGTATACTTTGGCGGAGCACCAGTGTCGAATGACGGATGCAGATGAAGGTAGGTCACCCATAGTAGTTATAGCCTGCGCTAACGGGATACACTGGTGGAGCACCAGTGAAGGATGATAGATGAGAATGAAAACAGGCCAGTTAGCTCATCATGATGAATTCATCAGGAATTAACCATGATAGTTTCCAGGGAGAACCGCGAGGAGGTCGACCTGGTTGGCTATATTGCTAGCAATGGGATTCTCAGTCTCCATTACTAACAATCCCTTTCTCCCCCTACACCCATAGTGGTTATTATCATCATTATCGTCATATCAGCTATCAACTGTCCATTGCTGAACAACATGGACCTTCCCCATAATATTACATATAATAATTTTACCAGTAGTTGCCACTCTTGGCAGACGGGTTGGGATATGTTGACTATTAAGTTTCCTTAATCGTCACTTACAACACCCACGGAAAAGGAAGTGGTGACTCATTCTATGCCAAGACCACATGGTGCTTTAGTATTTAATTCACCAGGAATTAACCACGATGATTGTCAAGGAGACCGCGTGGAGGTCTACCTAAGACACCGTATATTGCTAGCAGTGAGATCGTTAATTCCCATTATCAGCAATACCTCCTCCTCCAGATTAAAGGTTTTTTGATTGATGATAATGGAAAGGTAACCCCGCCTGCGCTCACGGTATACGCTAGCGGGGCACCAGTGAGGGATGATAGGTGAGGATGAAAGCAGGTCAGCTAGCCTGTCGTGATGAATTCCACAAGAATTAACCATGATGGTTTCCAGGAGTACCGCGTGGAGATTGACCTGATAGGATATCCAGTTTAAAGAAGAAGAAGAAGTTGTAGAAATTACAGGAGGCATAATATCTTAATCTTCAGGAATGGCAACGTATAAGAAGTATCATGAGCATGGCAGAGTACTCCATCATATCCATGATACTGTCATGTTTATAGACGACGGTTACCATTCCAACTCTCATAAAAAAAAATTTAAATAATTATACTCAACTCACTTTATATTTCTACTAATTGAGATCGGTTTTCAAAACTATAACAATAATAACAAGCTTTCTCTTTCAGTTTCATGAAAACTGAAATAAAAAAAAACAATATTTACTCAAAAAGACTGCATCGACCGGGAATCGAACCCGGGCCGCCCGCGTGGCAGGCGAGCATTCTACCACTGAACCATCGATGCTCATGAATTCCAATTACAAATTAGAGATTTCTATACGTGCATTCTATTAAATAATCACGTTTATGTTAAAAGTAATGCAATGCAAATAGTCTGCTTACAAATTTATCGATAATTTTATAATATCGACACAAACACAACGCATCGTTTTAAATAATATTTTTAAACAATAATAAATTGACAAATGGGTACATAAATAGATAGATACTCATATACATGGGGATTATATCGAAATTCTTTCCTAAAAAGAATTCGTTTAGAACAAAATGGATTTTCGGACATTTCCCTGAGGTGGGGGATAAATTTCCCATCTATTTACGATTGACACACTGTGGGCACACTCCACTGACCCCTATCAGCTGTCACTTAGCCCAATCAGAGCAAAATCATCGATAATAAATTATTTAATGAAGTCTGTAACTACGCATCACTAGCGTAAAGTAGTGACGGGCGCAACTCAGCAGTTGCAGTGCTGATGCAACCTCCTGTACGATTATCAATTTCTAACATTACATTTTTTTTTTAATTACTTAATAAGATAGTGAAAAGATTGACAGAGGCAATTTATTTCATAGACATTTTATCATAAAAGTTGCAATAATACTGTGAAGTGTAAAATGAAATGCCCTGTGGTGTCGGCATAGAATAAACCACCCCTTCATAGCACACAGCACAGATAATATTATACTAGCGTGGGTGTCGTAGGAGGCGACTAAAGGATAGCGATAAGACCGCCCATTGTTTTCTCATTGTGATTATTTCTTGTAATTATTTATATTTATAATAAGTTGACTATTGTAATCTTTTGGAGGAAACAATAAAGAGTATCTATCTATCTAATAGTCGAGTGATGGGCGGCAATGTCCCTTTTTAAACTTTACCAAAGCCTAACTGCGGTTGCTAAGCCGCTTGCTAAGCGTGGCAACTACTGGCAAAATATAGAACTAACGATACGGCATTAAAAACTATAGCAAAAAAGTATTCCTTCCTAAAAGGCAATCACCACACCTGCTATTTCTCTGGTATTGCAGGCGTTAGAATTGAGATCGATGTGGCCAATAAAAAAAAAATTGCTAATTGAAAACTCTCTTTTTAACCCCTAACGAAAAAACAGGAATGTTATAAGTTTGATGTGTCTGTGTGTTTGTGTGTCTGGGTATCTATCTGTAGTATCATAGCTTCTAAACGAATGGATAGATTATAATGCGGTTTTTAGTTTAAGAGCTGACGTGATCGAGATGATTTTTAGCTACAATTTATGAAGTATTTATTTAGTGTTCAGGCGTTTCTAGATCGTCAGCTCCTTTTATATGATTGCTTGTGTCAGGACTTTTTTAAAGTAAGTTTTAATAAATTTCTGGTAATTTGAAGGTAGCGTGATCTATCTACTACATTTATACAATATGAGTATGTGTATATGTGTATGTGTGTGTGTATACTGGTATATATACCCAGCGCGATGCGTTTTTTTTTTTTACATTGGAAATAATTAAGTACTATGAACTATATTTTTTAAACTAATAATAATGAAATGGTAACCTCGTCAGCAATAATAATAATAAAAATAAAAATAATAAAAAAAAAATAATATTATACACAAAAAAAAAGATGTACACAATGAGTATTTATAGAGAAGGTGCATATACAAAAGTTGGCCTTATCGCTGGAGGCAATCTCTTACAAACAACCTGACATTCAGGGGGGAAAGGGATTATTAGTGATGGAGACTGAGAATCCCATTGCTAGCAATATACCCAACCAGGTCGACCTCCTCGCCGTTCTCCCTGGAAACTATCATGGTTAATTCCTGATGAATACATCATGATGGGCTAACTGGCCTGATTTCATTCTCATCTATCACTCTTCACTGGTGCTCCGCCAGCGTATCCCGTTAGTGCAGGCGGGGTTACCATACCATTTTTACCCATCAAAAAAAAAACTGACATACAACATCCACGGGAAAGGAAGAGTTGGTCTCTTCTATGCCGAAACCACACGACTCTTTCGTATTACGTACTGCAAATCTTTCTCATTGCCACACTAGTCGTACTTCCTAAATATCAGGGCTAACATTGCAATAAATAATCATTTTATTTCACTACATAATTATAACTGATAATACGTAATCCTTATCAGTAGAGGACGTGATTTTATTTAAATTACAAATTATATTACATTACAAATTCCCCAGTAACCGAATTATATTTTGCAACATATGATATATAAGCCAACATGTCATTTAAAATATCAAACATTGCTGATTGAGCACAATGGTTAATCGGGAATCGAGGATACTCGCCGCTTTACTGGTCGTTTTGCAGGTAAATTATTTTGTTTTATATATACATACATATATATTTTATGTCGTATGGTCCCGGCATAGAATGGGCCACCCTTCCCTTTTTTGTGCGTGTTGTACTAAGAACTAAGAACTTAATGGTCGATGGATGGACAGCAGCGTCCCTCTTAAAGTTTCACCAAATCGTAACTAATGTTGCCAACCCGTCTGCCAAGTGTCGCAATTCCCTAACTGCCAGAGTATTAGGGGGGGGGGGGGGGGTTATATTCAGCAATTGACGGTTAACAGCTAATATGATGATTACATATAATTTACTACATATTTATATACTATAATTTATATCTAATATATAAAATTCTCGTGTCGCGGTGTTTGTTATCAAACTCCTCCGAAACGGCTTAACCGATTTTTATGAAATTTTGTCTGCATATCGGGTAGGTCTGAGAATCGGCCAACATCTATTTTTCGTAACCCTCAATGATAAGGGTGACCCACCCCTAAATATTATTTTTTATTTTTTGACATTTTTTTTTATTTTATTTTATTATGATTTAGCATTGAAAAATACATATAGATTCAAATTTTCACGTTTTTACGATCAACCCCTGTTGTTTAATCGCTATTTTTATATTCCGCAATAGGGTTGCAAGATGACAATCGAATAAAATAATCGAAGTACGATACATTTTCATGTATAGTTCTAGAAATAATGTTTATGGTAAAACAAGGTTTACCGAGTCAGCTAGTATTTATATGAAATATAGTACTCCTTTGATATGTGTATATTTAGTTTTGCTAACAAGTTGTTAAACTAATCGCTGTTTTTAATATATGTTTATATATATATGTATATAAATGATTTGCAAAATCTATTCTTATTGATAGACAGCTAGTCGTACATTGTAACAGAAGTTTCAACACTAGTTGTTCACTGATTCGTTACGTATTCGTTTGATACAAATGTGTTTTCCTATAAGAATTTGCAAAACCCTTTTTTGGTGTTAACTCACGTATAAAAGAAAACCCTTTGCAAACTTTTATGTTCCGGCTGTGCCTTTATTTGTCAAACAGTCAGTTTCTTTCTGTATTCTTAAAAGTCCCCGCTGGTTAAGAGTAGGTACTTTTAACTGCAAAAGTAGGCCAGAATATGTTACTAGCTAAAAACTTTAACCTTACCTTGTGGTTCTGGTTTTTTAACTATTAAAATAGGGTGCAAGTCAACCTTTATACCACGCTAAAGGTATTCGACCTGAAGGTATAATATGGTATAATTATTCTTTCCGTATCTATATTGTCATGTCAAACATGGACAATGACGCAGAAGGAAAGAAAGATGCTTGAGGCATTCGAAATGTGGACATGGAAGAGAATGGAAAGGATAAGCTGGACAGAAAAACTAACGAATGAGGAAGTCCTGAAAAGAGTGAACGAGAAAAGAACATTAAATAAAATAATAGAGAATAGAAGAGGCAAAATGCTGGGCCACCTTATACGACATGACGATTTTTTAAGGGCATAGTAGAAGGAAAATTAGAGGGCAAAAGAGTAAGAGGAAGACCGAGGAATAACTACATGGGACAGATAAAAGAAACACTAGGTGTCATGTCGTATAGGAAGGTCAAGGATATGGCCAGGGATAGAACTGGCTGGAAGAAGATGCATGAATTAGTTGCACCGACAAGAGTAAACTCTTAAATGAAAAGAGAGATCTATATTGTCATAATTTATCATCATCATCATCATATGAGCCATCATCTGTTCACTGTTAAATAGACTTATTCCTACTCGGTAGTTTTGCCAGTAGTTGCCGCGCTTTGCAGTCCGAATGGCAACCACAGTTAAGTTTTGGTGATGTATTATTAAGAAAGATGCTGCTGCTCATTTCTCGACTATTATTATTTACCGGTAGTATTTTTTACATTCAATTCAACTGCTCCTCCCCCCCCCCCCCCCCCCCCCCCCCACGTGAAATGTTAGAGCACTAGCAGTATACCCCGTAAAGTCCACCCAAGAAACCAGTAATAAATTAATTCTTGACTTCTTTATGAAATTTTTTCTTCTTTCTTGAATACGTTATGCTACGTCTATGATTCAACTTTAATCATTCTTTGATAGCCCACCAATTTATACATACCAATAACACAGGCGAGGTTACCATTCTGTTTGCATCAGCTAAAAATCGACCTTTCACATTATTTAATTCAATAACTTTCATTTTACAGGTCAACAAAGCGTGCTGTCAATATGTACCTCCTACAGTCCCCACAACACCACTTCCTAATCCTCCGGTTCCACAAATCGGCCAGCTGATCCTGCCGGCCATGATCGAACCCACAGTACAAACATTCCAACCACCTTTCCCGTATCCATCTCCGCCTTGTCCGTGTCCACCTCCCCCTTGTACATATCCACCTCCCTCTTGCTACCCCTTACCACCTCCACCTAGTTTTCCTACCTATCAAAACCAACCTCCACAAGTAATTATAATAGACGAAGGCTCTGGCGATAACAATATGGATATGCTTTATCTGCTCTTAATAGCTTCTAAAGGAGGTGGTTTATTTGGAGGTAATAAAGGTGGATGCGGCGGCGGATGTGGATGTGGAAGCAGGTGCGGTGGTAATTGCTGTAACGGAGGTGGATATGGGTACAGTTACGACGGTGGATACGGATCAACGATGCCGCCAATATGTTTAACCATTACCACTACGTCGTCTGACGCTAGTGAAAGCCAATAATTATTATCCTGTTATTTACTTACATATGTTAAATTCGTGAAATATATTTGTTTTTTTTTTATTATTTTTATCTTATTTATTTATTCCTAGCCGTTTCCCGTGGCGTTGCTCGCTTCAAACTATGTAGTTTCCGTATATCATTCCCAACGGAACTCTTCACTCCTATCTTATATTGTATTATACACTTAAATGATTATAACGTATCTAATACATTCATAAAGTTACAGTCAATTCAACTGATCTGTTATTTTATAGCATATGTGATTCTTTAGATTGATATAACTTTTTTATTTATGAACCGATTGAAATAAAACAAGCACTAAATGTTAAGTGGAGTAAATTGCCATGTAGTCTCGGCATAGAATAGGTCACCCCTTCCTTTCCCGTGGGTGTCGTAAGAAATAAATAAATAATAATCGACTAAGGGAGGGCGAGGGATGGGCAGCAGCGTCCCTCTTAAAACATCTCTAAAGCCTAACTGCGGTTGCCAACCCGCTTGCTAAGCGTCGCAACTTCTAGTAAAAACCCCCCAAGGGGGAGGCTTATGTTCAACAGTGGGCATTCAAAGGCTGATATGATGATGGTGAATATATAATATCGAAATGAAGCATCCGATCGAATTTATTTATTTATTTATAAATTACTCATCACACTTACAGTGTCCCAAAACGTGTAGTGAGTCATAGGTTTATTTTACAAACTTAAAAATTTTAAACATTTAAAAATATATTTAATTAGTCATTAAATATATCAATATCTGGCTGCTGAGCAATCAGAGAATTGAGCAGAGAAATAGCCTGATAAGTGGGAGCAAACTGAGCAGTACAGGTGCGAACCGGCGGTGCCGATAGTAGTCGACAAGCACGCCATCGCATGCAGCGGCGGGGTGCGTACAAAGAACAACGGCTGAGAGTTGCAGGATTATCTATTCCGCCGTTGAGCAACCGATAATAGTGCATCATCAAATTACACTTTCGCCTTACCTCGTGCGTTTCTAGACCTACCATACCGGATACGAACAGTAATATGAATGTAAATATCTCACATTTTAATATTGAAATAGGCAATGACCTTTTTTCCGTCGTAAATATCCAGAGAAACCCAATATATAAATATCAGAACAGTAATCTATGCGTAAATCTAGGGGTTATGAAAAAAAAGCTGGTCAAGTGCGAGTCGGACTCGCGCAACGAGGATTCCGTACAAAAACATCAAGTTATTTTTTTGTAAAGTAACTACAAATTTACGTTTTTCGGATTTTTTTTTTATTTATACAACATAACATTACTTCTTGCTAAATTTCATGATCCTAGATCAACGGAAACGTCCTTATAGGTTTTGATTTCCTTTGCAAATGTCAAACATGCGATATAAATGCAACATAAAGAGCCGTATCTTTTGATTGCATCGATTTAGAAGCTTGATTTTTTCGCTGCTTCAAGAGGTTGCAGACCTGAGTATATGATATTAATTTCAACTCGAATTATTTTTTTATACAACTTAGCCATGACAAACAAGCTGACGGCCCACCTGATGGAAAGTGGCAACCATCACCTATAGACATGAGCAGTACCATGGACATAACAAAATATACTGTTTCGCCCATGATAACCCCCATGCGTTGCCATTCTTGAGCTATATCCTACCCTTCAAACCGAAACACAGCCATGCAAACACAACTGCTTTACGGTTGAAATACAAATAGGACAAAGGTACCCAAGCAAACGACTTTTGTACAAAGTCTCCCTCTGGTATCGATACCTCCACGCGTTCCTAAAAAAGAGTCTTGCAGACGGACGGACGGACGAACAACGAAGCGATCCTATAAGGCGACTTCAAATAAAAAGAGATACAAGATAAACTCTCTATTTAATTGTGAAAATCAAAATCAAAATCGGTTTAAAAGTGATAAAGATATCATCTAACATACATACAAAAATCTTTTTGTCATACATTGTGAAAGCGTCCGACCAGTTTCATAAATTTATGACTGAGTGTACCTTGTACCTTATATGTCGAACTATATAATTAGGTATATCTAACAAATATTAAATATATATATCCGTCAGTATTCTACGACTGTGACGATATATTAAAAAAAAAACAAACTTCAATTGTGGCAATACCAGTTATTTGCATTTAAAAAGTAAATTACTCAACAGGTTTTACTAAAATTTTTACGTAAACCAATCTGTAAGTATACTCTTTCAGATAAAAAAAAAATCCAAATCGGTTTACAACGGACAGAGTTATGACGTAACAAAAATACAAAAAGTACTAATGAATTCAAAACCTTCTTAATTTTGAAGTTGATTGAAAATACATTGCATGTAACTCGATAAACAAAAATAGTGTAAAGTGTGATTGATGAAAATCCAATAAACCCTTTATGTCGGTCACAAATAAAGATAAAATAGATGGCAACCCAGTATGTATACATCGTAATATATTTTCAAACGATTTCATAACGGAAGTTCTCAATTCGGTTGTATTTTTTTTTCTGTGTCATCGTCATCATCATTTCAGTCATTATCCATTCACTGCTGAACATGTCTCCCTCACAGACTTACATAACTACTAGTACATAAGTACTAATAAAAATAAACAACATTCCTGGCCCACCTGTATCCACTAACTCTGACTGATAGTGTCTTACAAGAAAAAAACCGATATCAATTGTGACAAAACTAATTATTTTTATTTAAAAATTAAACTACTTAAGCCGATTTTGATAAAATTTCTATTATCAAATCTGTAAGTATATCTTTACAAATAAAAAAATAATTTTTCAAATCGGTTTAGAACTGACGGAGTTATGAGGTGATAAACATAAAAAAAAGAAAAATACAACCTAATTGAGAACATCTTTTACTAGAGGGAGACTTTGTACAAAAGTCGATTGCTTGGGTACCTCTGTCCCATTCGTGTTTCTACCGTGAAGCAGTTGTGTTTGCATGGCTGTGTTGAATCGGTGTGAAGGGTGGGATATGGCGTGAATTTACAGAGTACAGAGGAGGAGAATAACACCTGAGTCCTCAGGAATGACAGCGCATGGGGGGTATAATGGACGAAACAGTATACTGTGTTATCTCCATGGAACTGCTCATGTCTATAGGCGACGGTTACCACTTTCCATCAGGTGGATCGTCAGCTTGTTTGCCATTCTAAGTTGTATAAAAAAAACTTTCTTTTTGAAGTCGGTTGAAAAGTAGACAATTATTTTGTTTATATTTATTAAGATTAAACAATTGAACTAGTAATTATTAAACAATATATATGTAATTAGTTTTAGAGGAGGCTTATTTTTTATTTTTTTATTTATTTATTCATTAGTACAAAAATGTGTACATGGCGGATTCAATGCTAAAAGCATTCTCTCTCAATCAACCATAGGGAAGTGTCAGAATACTCGAATGCGGTACTACTAATTATTGATATACCATATATACATACTAAAATTACATATATAAACGAATAAATATATATGAATAACAAATATACTTACACATATATGATATATACTATATTATACACGAATTTGGGAATAATATAAAGCACTTACTGCTCGGATAAAGATAAAAAGTGAGCGTGAACGCTTTTCTTGAAAGACGGTTTAGTCGATAGTCTCTTAATGGCATCAGGAAGCGCGTTCCAGAGTCGTGAAGAATGTAGGAGAAAAGAGTTTGAAGCGTAACCAGTACAGTGAGAGGGGAACGATAATTGTTCACCCAGTGGACAGTTTACGGCTGATATAGTATAATATTTATAATATTAGTAAAGATAATTCAGTATAATATTTCAAAATAGAAAACGTATACAACCACTTTGTAATATTAGAATTTTAATAGCATTTTTCTTGAGACGTATAATAGAATTATATCCCGGGTAAATTCCCTAGAGATTTATCCTGTAGCAACAGTCTGTAGCAACATATTACCGAGTACATAATAGACTTTATAAATTTATAATAATTTTATATAATAAAATGATCTAAGAATAATTTAATTAATAAATAAATAACTTTTTTTATAATTCAATGAAAGTAACCTTTATTTTTTGTAATCACCAAAAAAATTCTTTCAACGTTATTTTTTTTCTCAAATTTATAATTTGCCAGTTTTAAAATCTTTCGAACTAGAGTTTCCAGCCTATAGCTATAGTTTCTTTGTAAATTGACTTCTGTGAAAATTAAAATAAATAACAAGCCATTTTATTACATACACACATTTATACATATCTGTCACGCCTGTCTCCCATTAGGGTACACAGAAACAATGGTAGACAGAAAAAAATCAATAGAAGCATGCCTCTTTTCTATTCTATAACTTTGTATTAATATAAAATTTTAAAATTAAAACTGCAAATTTTCGATAATTTTCATTTCTTTCGCCAAATTCTGTATAGTTGAGGCACTATAACTTCTTTTTATTTCACTGTTTGTTGATTTCTTACGTTACGTTATTTTTTAAGTTTTAATTTGTGACATACTTTATTATTTTAATTATTTTATTATCTGACTATTTTATTATTTATTTCACTTAGCAGTATAGACGTCGCAGAATACCTTGTAATACCCACGGTAACGATACTCATACATTATACTCGTATTCCTGAGAAATTTCACTGTTATCACATCCCACCCTTCAAACCGAAACACAGCCATGCAAGCACCGACAGCTTAGTGACGTAAATACTCAAGCAAACGACTTTTGTACAGTCACCATCTGGCAAAATGAGTTATGATAACGTACGTGTGCGACAACCCTAAGAACCGTCTCGCGTAACACATTTACTCGAGCTGCGACTACATCGCCACAGTGACGTAACTGTTGCAACTCGCCAACCCTAGTTCCTGGCGAAAAAGTTTTCATGCATAAATTTATTTTCGTAAAAAATATATGATTTCTGCAACTCCTTATAATAACAGAATAGGAATATATACAGAATAGGAAATAGAGTTTTATATTAATATAATAATAATTTACCGTGTGGTCCCGGCATAGAATAGTCCATCCCTTATTTTCTCATGACTGTCGTAAAGGCGACTAAGAGAGAGCGAAGGAC